CCATATCAGTAAACTAGTATACTCCATTACTTTATTCAGCTAACTGTCCAGTTAGCATGCTAAAGTCTTCAGAGTGAACCTAAAAAAGGCACTACACAACACAAGTTTATAGCTAGACAAAGTAATTTATAGATGTTATGCTCAAAAAGTTTTACATTGTAAAGTTCACATGGTTATCTTACTGAGGCTAACATGCCAAGGGCAACTGCATTCCATTTGAATTCACTGTCCCCTCCTCCCCTTCTGACACAAGAGGCCACTCGTGTAATGTAGGTGTGATGCACATCTGAGTGGTGAGTGGAAGTGGGTGAAGGCAAGGCATGTTTAAAAAGAGAATTGAAATAGGGCCTGGGAGTGTGTTCCACTGCGATACCTCAGCCATCCGTGGCTGGGAGTACAAGAGCGTATGATTAGCCACGTTCTCTCTGGGTGGGTAGGATGGCCTTCCCTCCAACACTTATGAATTGGCCAGTGGCATTGCATGAGCAGAAGTGCAGCAGTTCAAAAAGATACAGTGGTTGGCTTCTCATATCTTGAGTAAGCTTGTGCTAGCCTTCAGCCTCCCGGCTAGGATGGAGGAGACCTGGCTAGCAGGTGGGAATTGGACATGACTAAATTAGGGGTAAAGAAGTGAAATGATCCATAGTATTTTTGCTGTACTGTGTTGACTTTGTTTTAGTTGATATTCTTCATTTGTCTTTCAACAGTTGCCCTGACCAATCTGGACGATGTAGACAATGCACGCAGGTCCTACGAACAAGCTGTTCAACTAGATGTGTATGTCTTTTAAATCTTTGCAGGTCAACTGCAGCAGTTTTACAAGTGCTTGCACAAGACTGATTTAAAGTGACTGAGTGTTGATATCTCCGTTCACAGGTCCAACCCTCTGGTGAATCTGAATTTTGCGGTGTTGCTGTATAATCAGGGAGACAAGAAGGCAGCACTGCAGCAATACCAAGAGATGGAGAAGAAAGTCAACATGTTGGTGGAGAGCAACAGCAACACTGAATTTGACCCAGAGGTACAGCGCTGTCTGACATTGTTACATGCTTTAAATAATTATCAAAATGTCATCCCTAAAAAAACACAGCTAAACCTATGAAACCCTAAGAAAATGTGAGGCACATAGATAAGATTATACCGTCATAAATGTACCCTCTTCCAGACCTGTAGTATTTCACCTGTGCTACTGTGCCTGTCCATCGACATGCCAGAGTGCAGATACTCTGCGTCTTCATATCCATCACTACACTGTGTTTAGACATGCATGTTCTCCATTTTTCTCTACTCTAAAAGCACCTCCTTTCTCCTCAGCTTATAGAAATGGCTCAGAAGATGGGTGCAGCCCTGCAGGCTGGTGAGAATGTATTGTGGTCAAAACCAGGCAAAGAATCCAAAAACAGCCAGCGCTCCTCTTCCAGCAAGGTCGCCTCCTCTCAGCAGCCGCTAGGCACCAATCAAGCTCTGGGCCAGGCCATGTCCTCTGCTGCTGGCTACAGCAAGAGCATGCAGCTAGCTGCAGGTACAGTAGCTTAGAATCATAGGAAGGCTGCTTTCACTCCTCAGCCTGTCCCATGCTGGTTTGAACATTGTTTTAATTCTTGTGTTCTCTTCATGACTTCCACCATCATTAAGGCTTTAAATAATACTGTCAATTATGTTTTAAGTGTGGACTTGTTAATTAGGCTGCCCCTAGTTTTTAAAAAAATCTTATCATTGATTGTCTTAGAAATGAAGACACTAGTGCTTTCTGGGGTCTTATTGTAATTGTCTATTTATGATAATACCAACACTTATTTGAATAGCAATACATGGGACTTAAATTCAGATATTAAAAAATGACTTGAAAACCACAAAATGAGCATAAGAATAAAATGAAGTGTGTGATTAATATGTAAAGGCAGTTGTGCTTGTGTTTTTACTTTTGGCACATATTCTATTGTGTTCCAATACATTAGTCTGTTTTGAGCATCCCACAAGTTCTGTCCAAAACTTTTTTCTCCTGCTAGAGCCAGAGCCAGATGTGGAGAGTGCCCCTTCTCCCCCCACAGAGCCACCAGGAGAGCATGAAGCTGAAGATGGTGTAGAGGAAGCAGCAGAGCCTCCCAAAGCCAAGGAAAAGAAGAAGAGCAAATCCAGAGCAGTGGCTGAATAGAGGTTATCACAAAAATGCACTAAAAAAAGTTTGTAAACCTTAGAGTTGTGTTTCCCATCCCAGTACTTGGAGATCCATCAGTGCACACCTGAGGCAGGTATTCACAGGGTTCAAGTGTGTTAGGAGCTAAGCCAGAGCAACAGTGTGGATGTTCTGGGGTCTCAATGGACTGGGTTGAAAAAGACACACTTAAGAGTATTTGTGTCCTATGAATGTATAGTAATATTTTGGAAGGAATATTGTTTGTACAGATTTTTTTTAGGTCAATTAGAAATGGGCAAAACATTTCGTTGCCATACTGGTTAGTTATAATCTGCCATGCTTTCACTGAACAACATATTTAAAACAACTGGTCAACATTAATGTGGAGATCAGAAAAACACAGAAAGGAAACCGCCAAGTCAGAAACTGTACATCTGAAAACATTCAACATACTGAAGGTATTACTTCTCATATCAGTGATCAGTGGGAACATGGCAGACTGGAACTGGAATGGCACCCAGAGGCTTGAGTTATCAAATGCAGCTTTAAGCTATAGTCTTTACTGTTGTATGGAGCACAAAATTATCACTTATTTTACTTTTTCATGTACACAGCCATACTATTCTACTTTATATTGAAAAATGTGTTATTAAATGTCAATTTTGGGAATTAAAGTAAGTGGGTCCTTTTGGATCCTTAATGCAAGTATGCATTACATTAATGTAGATTAATCATTTAGCTTTTTCCAACCACTGTATATGAGCTAGGTGAAGGTCTGCTTCCTGTTTGTAATGGTTTTATGAATTAAAATGCAGTTTACCAAAGTTGTCCAGCCATTATTTAGACAGTAAGACATTATGTAGGATCAACAGATATTTTATTGATATAAAAAATATTCTGACCTCAAATTACCAAGCTAAATATTTCTATTTTTGTCTTAGGACACTGGGCCTCTTTAAGGCCCTTTTACTTTAAGACTTTGCATAATGTCACATTTGTGCAAACTAACTTTCTGCCACAGAATGCTGCCTTAATATGAAGTGATGTTTAGGTAACAAAGGGCTGGTGTCTCAAACCAAATCATGCCTAATATCTGCATCAAGCATCTCTGATTAAGAAAGCTTATCTAGGGCTTACATGCAGGCAACTCCATGTCCAGGATCATAATCCATACAACCTACATTCACAAATACACTCTTGACCAGCAGCCATAGCCTGAGATGCTGCCTAAACACTAACTCTTAATGCAAGTTTCCCCAGACATGCGTTAAACATGAGCCTAGCCTAAATATCATTTTTTAATAGTCACTGCAATTTTATCCAAGACTAGACCTAATCCATATCTGGGAAACAGACGCTTAGAGACCAGTCTTGATCACAGCTGGGCCAACCAGACCAAGCAGTATTTCCTACTGAGACGGAGGTTCGTAGATGAATACAGTACAAATGAGAAAGAAGAAATCTATGAAGTCAGTCAAGTTTTTTCAGTAACAGCTGCAGAAGACTGTACCTTCTCAAAGGAAGAGAGATTTAAAAAAGGAAGGTATCTTCATGATGAACGTTTAAATATGAAACCCACTGACAGGTTTATGTTGCTTAAGGCATTAATCTTACCAAATTCAAAATGCTGAGCATGTTTTGTGCCTCCTTACTTCACTCACAGCTAGCTTTTTGATCCCTGATAAAGCCAATTGGACTAAATGACCCAATTAACATTTAGTTAAGAAGTAAGTATTTCTGACATCTGGCCTACTTTTTTAAATGCACTACACAGCATCAGAGGGCAAACTACTTTCTTATTTAGCAGGGACATACATGTAATGTCACAGAACATGACGCATAAAATCTGTTAATGGCAGAAAATTTCTACTCATAACTTACAGCTAGACCCATCTGAGATACTGAACAATGTCACTATACATTTATAAATCAATCTCATGACCTACAGAAGAAGGAATTGTCAAAGTCTTCACTGTCCACCCCCCCACCATACACAGTACATGTCTGGAAAAGGAGGAGGTATTGACTAAACACTTACCTCCTCTTAGGTTGAATGTGTATTCTGTATAAAAAAGGCAAACATCTTGTATTCCAGAGACTAACTGAATAAATGAATGAACAAATGCTGAGGATGAAGCATGTGTTGAAATTCCTCTGCAAATATTTACAGGTTGTGCTGGTGCAAGTCCTTAAAAACAAACTACAAAGCAGAAGACTTAATTGCTTCCAATCTCCCACGCTACCCCCCCAGATTTCCACAAATACATGAATTACCATAGATTTAAGACGTGTCAGTTACCTCACAATTTCAGTAACCACAAGAGTTCAACCTAAATAAGAACCGGGCACTTTTGACTATCCAGTTTTACTGTAGTGAGACGTTCATTTGATTAACTGTGTTCCAAGAGTGGGTTAAACAGTCTTCACTTGATCACAATAAAATATAGTCTCTAACCTTTAAGATAACCTTGCCATGAAATAATAATAAAAAAATGTAAAAGGCTTTGTGACTTCCTTTATATCACTCTTACCTTGTACACAAGACGTACATATTGCTAGAGAAATCTGAAAACTTGGACTGGGACTGCCATGGGTTGCACAATTCCACGAAGAAGTGTTTGTCAGGTTCATGGTTAAGCAACAGGTATGGCTATAAGTAACCTAGCTTTGGTCAAGATATTTCTCATGTTGGGGTTCTACAGGAATCTAAAGGATTTTTTTCTCCATGTTCCATAGCAGCTCGGAGTTTCTGCATCATGTTCAAAGGCAGGTGAGATTTCACATCTCTTCACTGTAGTAGTCAGCAGAGGTAAAACAATGTGTGTGGAGTGTGGAGGAGGGGAGAAAAAGGAAAAGGACAGTATTCAGCAACAAAGGAGGAGAAGACGGCGCACCAATTTTGCTCACTAAAACAAAAAAAAAATCTCATTCCTGTACTCTTCAAAAGCATTTTTTCTTCCACTGTTCTTGTCAGCAAGCACTGCTTGCAATGAGGGGTGAATGAAAGGAGGATCCATCCATCCATCCAGCTGGTTCGATGCTTAGCAGCTAGCAATTGAAGACAGCGTCAAGAATAGATTTAGTCTTTAAAAAAAAATTAGAACTGGACCTCATGGAGTGATCGTCAATACTGACTTACTGCTCAGACAGTGGCTGGAGTGCAATCTCAGAGTACAGCAGTCCCTCTGCTGAGATAGCGTCCCCCAGCCCAACTGTCCGGAGTGGTTGCTTACATACCAGTACTGGACTTAGATGGAACGACACGTTCCCCCTTCGCCACACAGTAACTGGACTGGATGGGTCCAAAACCAAGCTCTGCCTAGGCTCGGAAAAAGAGCTGTAGAAGCTCAGTGGCGCTTTGAGCACCACCTTGCTAACATCCACAGCCTGTAGGCCACATGCCTGACTGCTGGCCACACGTGCCCCAGCTGCTACTGCTGCCTGCTGGTTCGCCCAGTGACCGTCCACAGTAGCCAAGATGTGGTAGGCCAGAGTGTGGAAATGAATTCGGGTCAGATCAGCCTCAGACTCCGGGTCAGCCCTGCCGTGCTGCTCCAGGACCCACAGGAGGATGTCAGTGACACGGCCCACATCAGGTATGCTGTCCCAAGCAGCAAGGTCAGAGTGAGGACCCCCTCCAGCCTGTGACAGGAACAGCAGCTCCTGCTCGTTCAGCCCGATGGAGTTGACGATGGGCATGACCTGCTAACAGAAGAGCCCACAATACTGAATGTGGTACATATGCTGATTGGTCACGGCAGGTAAGGCACTTGTGGCAGCTGTCAGAGATCACATAAAGGAACAATTCAATGAAATCCACCAATCCATAATGTTCTCACCTTCACCTAACAGCTTTGATGCAACTTTGACTTCTCTGCTCAGGAGAATAACTATTGATACAATGATCATGTTTAGTTTTGGCTTAGATTGACAATATGAGTGTCTCACACGCATCACTCTCTACTGTGCTACTTTCTAATCCATATGTAAGGGGTGTAAGAAACTTCTGCTAAACCTACACATTTACCTCCTTCATGATGCTGCTCATGTAGTCTTTATCAGTCATGCTGGCCAGCTCTAGATGTATGGGCACCTCATTACGGACATCTGAGATGGCAACCACGGCCTGCAGGGAAACAGACAAAACACACCTTCAGGCTCAGACAGGCAGAGAAACAGCACAGTGTTTTGCCACTCATCAGCTTCAAATTACAAGCTTCTATCTGCATTCAGTGTAGTTTGGAAATATTGAGGGTCAAAGAGTTCACTTTCAAAATAGCAAAACTCTTACACAGTACAATCGCCCACGTCTTTACCAAGTCAGTGTCTTGAAATACTTTTGACCACTGAATGTTAATCTTAGGATATTTGGAAATAGTCTTTTCTGGAATAAATCAAACGTAGACAAAAGCTTTTAATTCTCTTTTAGAAAAAGCTCTTTTAGAAATGTGTTTATTTTAAATAAATATAAATTTAGAACTGTAAAAGTTCTTTCTGCAAATAAACCCACCCTGTAATGGAAACATCACCACACTGTTCAAGATTCAAACTCTATCCTCATGAATTCTTAAAATACATTAAACGTAAATGAGAAATATCAAGAAATAAGCATCAGAACAGGTAAATTTTACAGCATACATCGATTGTACTACATCAGTGTGATGTATTTATTACTAAGTAATGTATTTTACTATGTACGTATTGTGCTATGTACACTACATGCGTATAAGAATAGCAGCATAATGACAAAATAAATATATTGCGCTACATCATACTACATATTTATCACAGTACATAACATCACAGAGAGAAAGACAACACACAGTCTCTCCGCCACTGTGTGTTGTCTCTCTCTCTCTCTCTGATGTTTGTGCCTATATTTCACTGCCACCGTCTCCCTGCAGTTATCTTTAGTCTTGTGTCTTAAGTTAAATGTTTAAAATGTAAATATATGACATTAGTTTAGCTACCTAATATAACTTTGGTAGCTACCTTGCTGTTTTGCAGATCAGGTAATTTTGCTAAATAAGCTGGATATTAGTTAGCTAGATGGCTAAGTAACAAAATCTAGATGGGGAAGATAAGTTAGTTTAATTTAGTATTTAATTTTTCGAGCAAATATGAACCTACAAAATGTCAATATTGGCTGATTGACAACTGATTCTTGAATTTAGCATTTAGTTAGATGCAGATGATAGATAGTTCTGTGTTTGCAATTTAGCTAGCTGGCTATTAATCTGATTAGTAAACATTAGCACCTGCTAACTAAATAACTGCTTCTAACTTAAATAAACCTATATTTAAAAGTGAGTTGGTCAATTGGCCGTATTAATTCCCTTTCATATTACTTTGTGCTACTATGATTACATATTAAATCGTTTAAAAAAAAGTCTAAAGGGTCATTTAACCAGGCTTCATAGACAAGCTACTAAGCCTAGCACACAGGTTATTGCTGAGCTTGGGCACATGGGTAAAACATTAATTTTTAAGGGGTTTCCACTATTGATTAGCTGCACTGCTTGGCTGCTGTACATAGGACTGTCTAACGCCAACATAGTACGCCATTTTGAAGAAGTAACCTTTTACTTTGGCATTTTTAAATAGACACTATGATCCTTTTTTAAAACAAAAGATTCCCCACAGCAATAAACTGTTAACTACATGTATGTTACTCAATTTTGACAAACATTCAGACAGAATTTTATAATTCTAAGCCCACAAAATATTTTGCACTATGTACTCCAGGACCCTGATGCACAATATGCCATGGTGTCAATGTTACAGCAGACAATGGTCTGATCTCATCAAAAATCTGCAATCCCAGCACACCCAGAGTATTTCAAATGTACAAACCTCTTTGAGTCTGTCCTCCCACAGCTCCCGGCCCATGCCCTCCATCATGTGGAGCCCAGAAAGCACCACCAATCCGGGCTGGAACTCCTCCAAACTAGCCACGAAAGTCTCCAAGGTACTCATCTCACCATTGGATACATCATGGGAGAAGATGAAGCGGTTGGCCTGAGGAGCTTGTGTCGATCCCCACTGCTCCCCTAAGCACACACAGTCCAACAGTTCACACTACAGACTACAGATGCAGTTTGTACCTATGTGAAAACAGTCTAGAACAACATCTGACTACAAAAGCAAATCGCAATATTACAATGATAAGGAACACATTTTAGTAAAATGATCAATAACTCAATGTTGGCAAATTTCTTACTTGACCAAGTAATACGCATAACTCATATAGGCCTTTTTGTACAGTAATGAGTTAATAAACAGGAGTACATCCTGACCTGCCTTGTACTCCAGAATGAGGTGGTATTCATCAGTCTCCTGCAGTGATTCCGGTGGTACTATTATCTGCTCATCCAGGAGCTCGTGCAGTTTAGGCCCAACAGGGCCACACAAGAGGACCTATGGGAAACCCACTACATTTAAAAACAGGAAATGCTACACCATCAAATGATCTTGTTAAACAAACTAGATTTTTAGAACAGACAAACACAAAAGACAAATACAATCTGACAGGCTCTTTAGAATGATCAGATAAACAGGTGTCAATCACAATTATGCAAACAGAGAACTAGACACACCAAACCACAAGTAAATAGGCAGTGTTAGTTCATACAAGGTGTGCAATTCCACTGACTGTGTTTTTATTAAGGCTTAATACAGAAAATCTACACTCAAAACTTCAAGCAAATGTGAACTTGCTGTGGCATTATTTGTCTACTCACCACAAGCTCTGGATAAGAGGCGAGTTTCTGCCCAATCAGAGCTGCATTTCCTCCCACATAGAGCTACAGTGGAGGGAAGAAGGAAACAGGAAGCCACTGATTATGAAATATCCTCCATCATGCATATGAATTTTAAAACACCCAGAAGGCATTGTGCCTAACCATAAGCTAGAGAAGTGACAAGTGAACACAGAGAAGCAAGACCTGAGCCTATTGCTACAACTATTAATTACTGTCAACTTAGCAGAATTACATTTGACACAGAAACTCAATCCTCGATGGGCTCAGCTTTCATTCAGTATTAAAACTGAGTTCTCTCGGGTCAGCACTTTCTTTACAGACAATACCAAAATTAGCCACACAAATCTAATGATCCTGTAAAACTGGTCAAGCCAGCTTTGATTCAGTGTGGACAAACTAGAATGACCAAGTCTGGCCCCACCTATCAAAAGGTGTCTGTAAACAGCTCCCTTCAGAACAAGGCAGGTATTCCACTGAGTTAGACTATAGTAATAAAAGAAAAGGTTGGGCTGTCCTGTCAGTAATTAGACTGTCCTCTTACGACAAAATCCTCTGCTGTAGAGGTGAGTAAAGGGCCCAACCCTAAACGACACTAGAATACACATTCTACCTGGGCACCAGGATATTCAGAAGCAGCCCGAGCAATCCTTTGAAAGACTTCTTTATCTGAGAAGAATCGTTCTGCAGCAGCCCCTCTTTCCATGTAGTGAATGAAGGTTTCTTTCAGGTCCTCTTTTGAGTGTAGTACATCATGGTCACTGCCTGATCCAGGATCGACAGCCAAAGCCTGGAGCAACCCTACCCCCGACACCACCACGTCAATACAGGCATTTACCCTGAGGGAAGAGACCGGGGGGACTTAATCATTCTGCATGTACACATCATCGTTTCAAAACTTGAGGCTTTCACTATTTGCTACTAAGCCTCAGTAAATTCAGTTTATGAACATCACTAAAAGGAGAACATGACTAAAAGGAGAACGCTGAGGATGAACTATTTCTTTATTTTGTCCATCGTGTCCCAGAAACTCACCCAACCGCTATTCGACCCCATTGTCTTGTAGGAGCAGTGATGAGGCTGTCCCAGGCCCTGGAGATGGCTTCTTCTAGAGAATGAGTACTGGGTTCATACTGCGTGGAGATTAGCGACCAGGGAAGGGACTGGGTGACAAACTGCAGCATGTGCTCTGGTAGCTCTGGGTTTGTGTGATAGAGGTACCCTACTGCAAGGGCTAGCAGAGCCACCAGCACAGCCTTCCTCCACATGGTTCAGCAAAGGTTCTGAAAGTGAAACACAGGACACAATACACATGAAAACAAGGATCACAACACACTTTTTCCTGTTTTGTTGTCTCTTGAGTGCGTGCTAGCACTGTGAAATCCACAGGGCAACATACTCAGCATGCATGCAAGACAGAACAGCCTAATTAAATGTAATTAGGCCTATTTTTACACAGCTCCTTTGTTCTTATTTAAAGTGAATGAATTAAACTCTACACCAAACGAGCAGAGGCGTTAATATTAGGCTACTCGTTAAAGGAGGTCAGTGCTACTCACTGCTGACTTGCTATGTTTAGCCATTCATTACTGTACAGGAGAGCTGTGAATGAGACAGAGCAGAGCTGACCCAATTAACTGCCTCCACGACTAGTGGTTAAGTAGTTCGTTGCTCGGCAGATATAAAAAGCTGACAATAAAGCAACTTAAATCTGACATTCACCGGGTTTGGCGCTGTGGCTAATAAGCTAACGTTAAGCTCTCAGTTCTGATGTTGGCTAACCTCCCTCGCTAGCTAGCTAGCTGGCTTAGCCCTCTGGCTTCAAAGGCAACTTAACGGCAAATTAAAACCATATGGACAAAATATTGCCCAAACCTCCAGTATCTTTGGAAATACCTGAAATAATTTGTTGCTTGCTGCCAAACAATATACACAGAGAAAATAGCGTCAATGAGCTAACGTTAACAGGCTAGCGTTATCAAACACATCCAGGTACAGCTTGTCAATTTGGCTAGCTAGCTAAAACTACACCAGGCAGTGCTAATCTGACTGGACACTGCGAGGCACTTTCTCTCTTGGGTCTAAACGTACTGCACACTCACCTGAGAGACAGGTATGAACGCCAGGGCTCCCTGAGTGAAATTGTGAGCTGAGAGAAAACTGTATAGCCACCGCTGCTCCGAGGACCCGGCGGCGCCACGTCTGACTACGGAAGGACTCGGCAGCAACTTCACTTCAGCTACTCAGAGAGGCGCGGTTACTGAAGGAGATACGCAACCTAATGGCGGAGTAGAGACTGTGAAACGCAAAAACACCAGAGTAACCCGAGGTCGGTGCGGGTCTGTTACTAATCCTCTGATAAGACTGTGGAGCTGGTCGAAGCTCCGGCTGGGAGGCCACTGGGCCCAGAGTTTATAATATTAATAACGGGCATGTCTGCGTTCTCCTAGCCAAAACATACTCCACTGTAGCCCTTAGAGGTGTGCGATGTGATAAAAATACAATATCGCGATACTTCAAGAAATGTTCACGATAAACGATATGTCACGATACTTATTTTTTCAGCTGTCTAACCAGTTGGAACAGAGAAAAAAGAATCAGTAGTGCTGCATTTAAAATATACTATCAAAAACTATTAATGCAATGTTTTTTTATTCAATATTTCACATGCAGTGTAGCACTAAATCCGGGTAGATGGGACCGATTTTGCTCTCTTTGTAATGAGTTAGACAGTTGGTCAGTGTCCTGCAATTATTGATACACACAATATGAAAAGAGGATATTATGACATAATTTATCACAATATTATACAATAGTTAGTTCTGGCCACGCAGGCTATTTCGGCATAACATCACAGGTTTGTCACAAGCACTGTATTACTCCGCTAAGACGCTGTTGCTAAGCAACAACTTTGACAGCTGTAGGGGATGCTCAAGCCATTTGAAAGTTTTTACTTCTTACTTCGCCACAAACAGAAAATGGATACTTTTAAGATCACATTTGACCGACAGCCGATTTGGTCAGAATCTGAAAATGAGACCACACTAAATTCCTAAACTGTCATCACCACTGAGCAGCTTTTCAGTCGGCAGCTGTGACAGAAGAAAACCTAAACAACCTGGAATTAGCCAGAAATGAACCGAATACCATTCGCCAAACGTGTAGTCTCATCTTCAGAGTCTGACCAAATCGGAGTGAGCCATAAAACTGCCACAATAAAAAATAAAAAAGCTGCTCAGTGGTGATGACAGTTTGGGAATGTAGTGTGTGGAGCTGGAGAATGAACTGCTGGCTGTGCAGCGAGTGAGTGGAGCTCATTATTGTGATGTAGCAACGAGCTGCTTGTTAAGGAACTATAATTTGGTGGAAGGAATTGCTAACATTAAAACATATTAAATGCCGCGTTCACGGCCCAGTTTATTAATTTATTACTATATTTATTTAACTGTTGTATAAAAGCCTTCGGCTTGTGCCTGCGACCAAGTCACAGCCGTGATGTTATTTCACGATAACACACTCCCTCTCGTGTCCTGTTGCTTAAACAATATACACTATATGAACAAAAGTATTGTGACACCTACACGTTACTCCCAAAGTAGCTTTTATGACACCCCATTTTAAATACATAAGCATTAATATGGAGTTGGTCCCCCCTTTGCAGTTATAACAGCTTCCACTCTTCTGGGAAGCTTTCTACAAGATTTTGGAGAGTGTCTCTGGGAATTTTTGCCCATGCATTTGGGAAGTCTGGACAAGAGGTCCTGGCTCACAATCTCTGTTTTAGTTCTTCCCAAAGGTGTTCCATGGGGTTGAGGTCAGGGCTCTGTGAGGGCCAGTCACGTTTTTCCACACCAAACTCACCCAACCACACCTTTGTAGACCTTGCTTTGTGCACTGGGACACAGTCATGCTGGAACAGAAAACAAACTGTTCCCACAAAGTTAGACGTGTACAATTGTTCAAAATGTCATGGTCTGCTGAAGCATTAAGATTTCCCTTCACTGGAATTGAGGGGTCTAGGCCAACCCCTGAAAAACAACCCCATAGCATTGTCCCTCCTCCACCAAACTTTACAGTTGGCACAATGCAGTCAGGCAGGTAATGCTCTGGCATTCACCAAACCCAGACTCATCCATCAGACTGCCAGATAGAGAAGCATGATTCAGTGCATTACACCACTTAATCTGATGCTTGGCATTGTGCTTGGTGATGTAAGGCTTGCATGCAGCTGCTCAGCCATGGAGACCCTGTCATGAAGCTCCCGTTGCACAGTTTTTGTGCTGATGTTAATGTCAGAGCAGGTTTGGAACTCTGCGGTTATTAAATCAGCAGAGCACTGGCGACCCCAGTAACTTTACGTGGTCTGTCACTTCATGGTTGAGTTGTTGGGGATTCCAAATGCTTCCACTTTTCAATAATACCACTCACAGTTGATTGTGGAATATCTAGGAGGGAAGAAATTTTGTGAACTGACTTGTTGCAACGGTGGCATCTCATTACAGAACCGCACTCAAATTCAGTGAGCTCTTTAAAATGACCCAATCTTTCACAAATGTTTGTAAAGACAGACTGCATGGCTAGGTGCTTGATTTATACACTTGTGGCAATGAAACTGAATGAAGCACCTGAATGAATTACATTGAGAATACCAGGGAAGGTCAGGAAGGTCACCAGTAGCCAACAACAACTTAAAGGTACACTAAACCCACACTAACTAACCCACAGCCCATGACAAAAAAACACAGTCAACACACACATATACATCTTCTACCCACTACCACAACCTCTTAGCACGTGGGCAGCAGCAACAGTAGGGGAGACTGTGGACAGTTGCAACATGGGACGGATGCAACAAGTCTTATTTTTCCAATCAGAAAAAAAAAAGAAACCGTTCAGTGTTTCTGTTGGTTCCTGATGGTGTTGTAATGTGTTTCAGCTTTTTAAATAGGTTGATGTCACAATGTTACAATGGGTTAGTGGTATTTTCTTATACATGTTTGTGTGTGTGTGTGTGGGGGGGTGTCATACAATGAATAAATCATCTAAAAGTAGAAATTGTACTCTGTTTGTTTTCAGTAGGCTATGCTAAGAGTGAGGAAAAGTGTGAGATTCCCCTCAGTGTTTTAGAATAAGCCTCAAATATTATCAGGCATGAGGGCAGGATAATCAGGGCAGTGCTAAATATTAATAAAAAAATACAAATTATTGTTCAAATAAGTAGTACTATGATTATTGTAAAACAATGCATATTTTCAGAATATTTTCTGTGCTTATTGTGGCAAAAAGCAAAAGTTTTATGCCAGGAGTGTTGTGCCTCCCGAGAGCTGCTTTGCATGGCCAGACCCCCTGAGCCCCCCATGGTGCGCAACCCATGGTGGACACCACAACAATAAATACTGGTTTTAGGCCCCTGCATCTGCATAATATTTAGTGTATTTACTTGTCTAATTATGTTGTATGGTGCTGTAGTACATTGGCCTATTGCAATGTGTTGTTAGAAGTCACTTCCAGTGGAGTCAATTCATAGTTGGTCTTCTGTGACCACATTCATATAGAGATTCCTTGGTTTCATCTCATTAGACTTTACTGAACTTAATTTGCCCGGGGCCACAGCTCAGAGGGAGAGAGGTCAACCCTGTCTACATTATGAGCAGAGATTTGGAGATTTGTTTGGAGCTTGTACCCCTTCAGTCTTGCAACCTTAAAAGCATTGCCGTATTGTTAATCCTGACCACACTCTCCTTGATGAGTGGTGTTAGTTTCAGTTTGTGAGAACTGTCCTCATCTTTGAGACACCAAAGACTCTCTTATGAATCTTCTACAGTTCTTCGGACTTGTGAGGATTCTACATTCCACTCTTTCCTCCGTCTCATTCCAAACCTCCCCCCAGCAGACATTTATGCACTTAAGAAACAAAATGTTCTGATATACTTCTCAACTGAGATTGAATAGCTTTTGACGCAGTTGTCCTTTTGCACCAACAGGTGGCGATATTATCTAGCCAAGAACTTTGTGAGATCAAAGCTGCAAAAATCACCAAAAATCATTTCTCTCCTCTGATATTAATAGACGTTGCCTCTAATATGTGTTATAACAGTTAGTAGTTAGCTATTAGAGATCTAGTGCTTTTTACTCTCAATATCCGTGCAAGCTAAGGCATGCTATTTGGTTTTTGTCATGGCATGTTTACATCCCAGAAGAAAGACTTTGCAAATATCATGTGCTCAAATGCAAGCCTCAGAAAGTGTACTGTGTACCCATCACAAATGGATCCGGTTACCCTGGCTAACTGATCTTATCCAGCCTGGCTACAGCACGGAGGCATGTCCGCCTTTAGGCTTGTGTTGTGAAATCTTTTAAAGGGGAATTTTGCGGAATTGCCACATGATTAAATCACAGATGTTAAGTCATTCAGATGTGAAAATCTTACCAACTCTTTATGTGACGTCTTTACGCTGGTAGTGATAGGAACCAGGGGTTGCAATTTCTACAGTGCAAATTTAGCCATTTTTATCACCCAAAATGACCAGTGACTCACATGTGTCTTCTTAGTCTTTATATATACTGTTGATAATGTTGAGTTTTTATATGTGAAGTTGTAAAATAGTGATAAATCTGGGGGCCCTGCATGTACCTCTCTGCCATTAATGTATTTTAAGAATCCATTTGTGGCCAAAGGCTTTTGCAACACTATAAAGAAACTTTCTCAGGCATCAGGGAGTGTATTCATAACCAATTTGTGTGGTACTTTTTTTGCAAGGGAGCTTTTAGAGGCATTAAACACTTTGGTTCTTATCACCACCATTGTGAAAAATTCTTGGTAAGTTTCTTTAGAATGGAGCACATCACACCAGACCTCTCTGAATGACTCTGTTTACATCTTAGCCAGTTAATTATGCAGGAATGTCAAAAAATGAATGGAAGTCAGATGTGTAACAAAGCCTGTCAAGTAATGGAGCTGTAAGCACAATTTCCATTAGAATTTGACAGAGTCGTATATTAAAGCAATAGTGTAATGCCAAGCACTGGCATGATAGCTCATAGTCAACAGCGTGTGACCTGGGAAAATGCCTTGCTCTTTTAAATCTGGCCGGCCATGTGACCAGCTGTGAGCTGGTAATGTGAGACATGCACAGATGACCTCTCTCAAGACAGTGTACCATGCAGAGACTGTATGTCTATATGGTGCAGTGTGACACTAGCATTCTATCCTGAAATTACACTGTATACCAGAGCTCCACTGCTGCTCCATCAGAAAATATATCGCTGTATATACCTCGCGTCTCCACTTTTGATGTTTTCCAGTTTTTGACATCAAATGTCTGTTGGCCTTTACATTGTGTGTAAATTTCATGAAGAATGGACCAAAAGAAATGGCCTAAAATTACTTGAAAAAAAGGTCTGGTTTCATTGACTTACATTAAAAGTAAAGTACGTCTATTAT